GAAATGGCCAAGGAAAGAAAGACTCTTCTCCCTGCACGGCCTGGAGGACAGAGCTGAGCCAGGCCCTGAGAAGTGCCACAGGCTGCAATTCTGAAAAGCCAACAGAGGGTGCCAGGAAGAGCCCGAGGGCAGCAGCCCTGACACACCACACAACAGGTGGGGCAGGACTGGCTACCTTCCAGGGTCACACTTGGGGTGAGGACAGAGGAACTCTGGGACTGAATTTACTGGAACCTGAGAAGACAAAACAGAGGCTGGCCTTCCCACATGGAAGCCCCAGTTCCTCTTTAGGATGGGATGCTGTGGAGAGCCAGCAAGCTCGAATCTGGAGTGGGGCAGACACCCGGCCCACATAAACTCAGAAACGTAACAGGAATCTGCTTACACCGCACTCGAACAAAAACACCTGCGCCGACGCCAGCGTCAACAGAAATGCATGGGCAGTATGGGACAGACCCCAGGCAATGCAAGGACAACAGGGGATGAAGGAGTCCCTCTGAGGCCCTCGGGACATGAAGGGCTCTGCCGACCCCAGTGACACCCCAGGAAGCCAGAGACTCGGTCGAAGATCATGAACAGTGAGGTGAGGACACAGACTGGGCTGAGGACACAGACTGGGACCCGAAGGACACTAACAGCGTTGACACAGCTACTGAGCAGTGAACACGTCCAGAACAGACCCAGCTGACCACTGAGTAGGACAGAGGGAAGGGCCAAGAGGGTTTCAGCGAAGGCAGGGAACAGGGAGAAACCATCCATCTCACTGACCGCAGGAAATGCGACAGACAGGGAAGAGAAAGGGCACGACACAGCAGCCCCCTGGAACACAGCACGAAAGGCCAGGAACGCTCCGGCAGGCTGCTCCGTCCCTGGACTGGGGGAGCACATCTGGCCTTGGATTTCCCGAAGCTGCATTCAAACCAGAAGGCTACGACCTGACTAACAGATCTGAGGGGATGAATATGGCTCCGCTATAACACTATCCATGCTTAAGGCCTTTTTTTAAGTACAAAAGCAAGAGGCAGAGTCTGAAACAGGACCAAACCCAAAAATAGAAGACCCTCAGTCCTTGCAAAAACAAAACAAAACAAAACAAAAAAACCCCAAGAGACGGAACCCTGGCCAGAGATGGCTCAGCCGGGGAAAAGCCCTGCCATGCAAGCCTGCCGACCTGAGTGAGTTCACAACTGCTGTGGTGAAATGAATCTGTAATCCCAACACTCTCACAGCAAGATGGGATGCAGAAGAACCTGCTAGAAGCTTCCAGGCCAGCTGCCCAAAGAAGGCTGTGCAGCAGAAATGAGAGAGAACTGCCCAAGGGAGAAGATGAGAATCAGCTCCAGAAAAGTCCCCTGACCCCAACACACACACACACACACACACACACACACACACACACACACACACACACACAAAATATTTGAAAAAAGAAACACTGCCCCCAGTCCTTGTTAAAATAATGGAGTGGCTGAGTACCAAATCCACCAAAATGCAGTCCCCACAGGTTTGTTTTGGATGTAAAGGAGAAAACAAAACCAACAATAAAAATTAGGATGTGATGGGCTGGAAAGATGGCTCAAAGGTTAAGAGCACTGGCTGCTCTTCCAGAGGTCCTGAGTTCAATTCCCAGCAGCCACATGGTGGCTCACAACCATCTGTAATGAGATCTGGCGCCCTCTTCTGGCCTGCAGGCATACATGCTTTATACATAATAAATAAATCTTAAAAAAAAAAAAATTAGGGTGTGAGGAGATGTGGCCCAGTGGTTAGTGGTTAAGAACACTTCCACTCTTCCAGAGGACCTGGATAAGTTTTCAGTACTGCCATCAGGTAGCTCACAACTGCCTATAACTCCAGCTCCAGGGGATCTGACACGCCCTTCTGGCCTCTGTGGGCACTGTACTCACATGGTGCACATACATCTATATATTCAGAGACACACACATATACATTAAAAAAAAATACTCTTTGGGGCTGGAGAAATGGCTCAGCCATTAAGAGCACTGGCTGCTCTTCCAGAGGACCCGGGTTCTATTCCCAGCACCCACATGGCAGCTCACAACCATCTGTAACTCCAGTTGCAGGGGATTTTGGCCTTCATGAACAGCAACCAGGCACCTGATGCAGAGACATACATGCAGGCAAAACTCATACACATAAAATAATAATTTTTAAAAATTATCATGAATAAATTTTTTTTAAACTTTAAAAAAAAATTTAAGGTGGGAGACTGAGAATGAACAGAAAATTGCTAAGTACTAACTCCCTCCTCATGCTGCATATGAGGGAGTCAGTTTCTTCGTTAACTAGACACAGAATTAAACGTAACACATACCCCATTCTTCTGAACTTACTTCTGTTTAGCTGGTTATCTATCCCACCTGGCTTTAGTTTAGTTACTGGAAGAAAGAGCTCTAGAGAAACAGCCTCCTGAAGTGAGGACGGCTCTTCCCTGTGAGGCGGGGTGGGAGACAAGCCAACCCAGGGAGAAATCTTTAGGATCCACACTTCTGAGCGGTCCCTCCCACTTTCCTACACTGTGCTCTCCTGAAGCGCAGACGTGGAGAGGAACAGAATGCCTCCAGTCACGAAGGGAACAGTCAAGGTGCGGGCAGAACCACGCTGCTTTAAGAGCCAAGTCAGCAGGGCGAACGCAGACTGAGCAAGGGCTCCAGAAAGAGCACACGCTCTCCCAGGTTCACTAGGAAAGAAAGCCCTTCACGCTGGGCAGTGGCACACACCTGTGACCGCCACACTCCGAAGGCGGAGGCTGGGGTTCAGAAAAGTTCAAAGCCATCATTGGCGACGCAGTGAGTCAAGGCAAGCCTGGGCTACATGAGACCCCACCTTACAAAAGGGGGGTGGTGTCTGAGCCAGCAAAGTATCTGCTGTAGATACCTGAAGACCTGGGATCCTTAGCATGGAAAAGCCAGGCATGGTGACACAGACTTATTAATTATGAAAGCTTGACCTTAGTTTAGGCTCTTTCCCAGCTAGTTCTTATAACTTAAATTAACCCGTATTTTTTTAATCTACGTTCTGCTAAGTGGCTTGTTACCTCACTGATCATCCTGCTTCCTCTGCGTCTGGCTAGTGACTGCCTTTCTTCTTCCCAGAGTTCCCTCTCTGCCTGGAAGTCCCGCCTCTACTCTCCTGCCTAGCTATTGGCTGTTCAGCTTTTTATTATACCAACCACAGCAACACACTTCATACAGTGTACCAATATCCCACAACAGCCCCTTACAGAATACGGTGATGCACACTCCAGGGAGACACCAGATGTCGGCCTGTGACGTCCATATGCATGCACATACGAACCTCCCCCAACACACACATAAAGACCAAACTGTTATCCAAGTACCTAGAACTCCCAGTTCCTATCTCCCTGCCAGATGTCCCCTTAGCCCCACATTCATTTCCAACCACTGCTTCATATTATCCATAAGGGTTCTGAAGCATTTCCACCAGACTCTTCCCAAAGATCAAGCTGTGACTTCCCGCTGCACACCCGGCCCTCCACGCTCAGCCTCCCTTTCACTGTCAGTCAAAGGCCTCAGATGCACCCTCCACCATCTGCTCTCACACCATCTCTTCAGTCTGCTAGCAAATCTTCGATAAAGACAACTTGTCGGGCTGGGGACACAGCTCATGGTAGAGTGCCCGGATCCCCAGGGCCTGGAGCACACGCCTGCACTCTCACCCGGGAGCAGGAGCGTCTCACCACTTTCTCATGAGCAGCCTACTCGACCATGTACTACTCGCCTGCATGGGGATCCGGGCCTGCATTCTTTTTTTTAATCTTTTTTATTTGGTTGTTGTTGTTGTTGTTTTAAAGACAGGGTTTCTCTGTAAAACAGCCCTGGCTGTCCTGGAACTTTGTATTCCAGGCTGGGATGGAACTGAGAGATATGCCTGACTCTGCCTCCCAAGTGCTGGGATTAAAGATGTGCACTAATTCCTGCCTTTCCCTCTAATCTCCAAGCAGCAGCCAGTGACCTCTGAACACACAGGCCAGATCCTGCCACTTTGCTCACAACACAGCAGTGGCTGTGACCCTCCTCAGGAGGCCCAGTCTACTCTTCCTTCTGGAAGGTCTACACAGGCTCTGCCTCAGGCCCCCTGGGCTCCGCCCCCATGTCAAGGCTCCAGCAGCATCCCATGGAGGCCTTTTCTGGTTTTTCTACAACTGGATCCTCATACCCTCCCCCTGCTTTTCTGAGAGCAAGCATTTGTCTCTTTGCCCACAGCTGCATCCCTAGAGCTTAGAGTCGCCGACATAAAGCAGGTGCTCAACATCTGTCAGGTGGACGAGTTAATAGAGGAACTCAAAACTTTATTTTCCAAGACCTGGGGCTGTCTTTTTTCACTTCTGACTGATCCAGCTGCACATCACTATCACGCTTAGGAGTGAAGCTTACTCTCCAGCGAGCCACACACGTGACTATGAGCACGGCAGCAGCTATCAGCAGAATCTATGAACCAGAGCCAGGGTGTGCTGTAATCCAGCATGTGGGAGGTGGAAGCAGGAGGCCAGGAGTTCAAGGACCACCTGGGCAACCCTAGCTGAGAGAGATGGTGGGGGGGGCTAGCTACCAATGTAGTTCAGTTGGCAGCTTTTTTTTTTTGTGGGGGTGTTGTTACTGATGCAGCTCGGCTGGCAGAGTGCTTTTTCTTTTTTTTGGGAGGGAGGGTGTTGCTACCCGTGCAGCTCAGCTGGCAGAGCGCCTGCCCAGTGTACCGGAAGCCCTGGGTTCAGTCCCTAGCACTACCAAAGCTGACTGAGCATGGCAGCACAGAGAAATCCCAGCCCTGAGGAAATAAAGGCGGGAAGATCAGAGGATTAGGTCGTTCTCAGTGAGCAGGAGGCTAGCCTGAGCTATGAGGCCCTGTCTCAAAAGAAAAACAAACCAGATCCAGCCAACGGAAAAGCCGTTGTGGCTGCCTTGCGACCCAGCTGTCACGGAATGAGACTCCAAACATGTATGATGGCCTAACCGTACCTGTCCCTGTCGGGTCACCGCCCTGGATCATGAAGTCCTTGATGATCCTGTGGAATTTGGTGCCGTTGTAGTAGCCCCGCCGAGCCAGCTCTGCAAAGTTCTTGCAGGTCTTCGGCGCATGCTTCCAGTACAGCTCCAACACAATGACCCCCATGCTGCAGTTGGGACAGACAAAACAGCAGTCAGCCAGGTCACAGCAAGCGGCAGCGCGGGACCACCAGGACCTCTGTTGCTCAGCCTTGTGAGGCATCAAACTGTGACCAGAGCTCACGCTCAGAAGAAACAACCCAGAAAGCCACGAGGCTACAGCCAATCACCCGAGTGTGACACACAGGACAGCTTCGGGCACACGTTCTAAGCAAAACAACCATAGACAAGTCAAGATTCTGAGTGCATACACTGATGCTCCAAAACCAACCCTAAACAAAGAAAAGGGCCTCACATGTCATCTCTAGATTTAATAAAAGGATAATTAGTGTGAGGAGTTTATAGACATTTGCATGGGGTGGGGGTAGTGACTGGCCAGATAAGAGGCAGGATGTTCAAGAATACCTTTTCTAACTTTTATGAAGTTTTTTTGATCATGTAAATATATCACCTATTAAAACCAAACTTGAATAGAAAAATAAAAGCAGTTTGTTAAAAAGAGGGTCAAACAGGGCTGGAGATGGCTCAGCTGCTAAGAGCATGTACCGACGGCTCTTACAGAGGACCGGCTTCAGTTCCTAACTCTCAGTCAGGAGGCTCCCACAACCTGTACCTCCAGCTCCAGGGGATCGGCCGCTGCTGGCACTTGCACGCATGTGCACACATCCACACACATAAATAAAATCTAGAGAGTGTGTAAAACAAATGCCAAGGCTGGCTATTGCACATGTCGGTACACACCCAGTGTGAGTGTTTTTATTCTCTCCCCCAGTACCTCTAAGGGTGAACAAGCAGGAGACGAGGCAGGGGGTTCACGCTACATGCCCTCACCCACTGAGCTCTAGAGACCTGAGGACTGAGTTGAGTCTGTATGGTCCAGACACAGAGGGCCCAGCAGTGTGAGCACTCCAGTAGAGGCTGGCAGTGGTGGCGCACACCTTCTTAATCCCTGCACTCGGGAGGCAGAGACAGGCAGATCTGAGTTTGAGGCCAGCCTGGTCTACAGAGTTAATTCCAGGATAGCCAGGGCTACACAGGGAAACTGTCTCAAAAAAAAACCATAATAAATATATGTAGAATGTACTAGAAAAACACTTTTCTGGCAGCCTTCCTGCCTGCAATTCCTCTTTCTGATGCCTACCAGCCAACACAGGTTTAGTCAAGCCGTGAGAGCCAACGTGTGAGGTGTTCCTCCCCTGGAAGGTTACATTCTGGTGTTTGTTTTCCCTTCCTATTTTGTGTATTGATGGGTACTGTTCCTAATTACACTTATTTATGGGGGGGGGCGTGAATGTGCGTGCCACAGGTGTGGAGGTCAGAGGATGACTTTCAGGAGTCAGTCCCCTCCTCCCACCACACGGATCCTAGGGATCTCATCCTCAGGCTTGGTGACAAACGCCTGTATCCACTGAGCCATCTCACCAGCCCTAGTAGGTGTTTTTAAAGATAATAAATGACACAGAATGGTAGGCATGAAGTACATAATGAATGTGTCCCTGAGCGATTTCACCTTCTAAATATCTGTTCTCTAAGAAAAGTTAGAGTTGCCTCAGAGTCTATGTGTACAAATATGACCCGATACAACAGATGCATCATCTGCCACAGTAAGAAAACTAGGAGTAAAGCTGGGCGGCAGTGGAAGCGCACGCCTTTAATCCCGGAGTGCTTGGGAGGCAGAGGCAGGAAGATCTCTACTGAGTTCGAGGCCAGCCTGGTCTACAAAGCAAGTTCCAAGATAGCCAAGGCTACATTGAAAAACCCTGTCTCAAAAAAAAAAAAGAAAGAAAAGAAAGGAAGGAAGGAAGGAAAAAAAAGAAAGAGGAAAAGAAAACTAGAAGCAACTTACAGACTCTTGAAAAGGGAGATAACACAGGAACTACCACACCACAGGGCAGCTACATGCTGTTTTGTCAACTCTGCTAAGAGATAAACATACATGTGAAAGCAATCTGAACAGCCACCAACAAGCTGTTAATAGTGGTTCCCGGAAGGGAATTGGTTTTTGTGGCTTACCCCGCACCTTTTACACTACCTGGAGTTAACTTTCAATGTATTTTGTGATTAAAACCACTACTGATGCCGGGGCGGTGGTGATGCACACCTTTAGTCCCAGCACTCTGGAGGCAGAGGCAGGCAGATCTCTGTGAGTTCAAGGCCAGCCTGATCTACAGAGTGAGTTCCAGGACAGCCAGGACTGTTACACAGAGAAATCCTGTCTCAAAAACAAAAACAAACACCCTCCCAAAACAAAACAAAACACTACTGACTCTTCCAGTTGTCCTCTGACCTCCAAACATGTGCCATAGTGTGCACATACACCCCCACACACATATAATAATGAAATAAATGTAATTCTTTTAAATACTGAGAGGATTAAAACAATTATAAGCTGGGACTTAAAAGCAGTAGGATTTGTCATATAATGTGATCTGAAGACAGAGCTGGAGCAAGGACAGCATGAGCCAATACAGAAGGGACTGAGACCTCGGCTCTTGCTGAAATCGGCAAGGGCAGAAGCTGTGGCTGGCCCTAGGCTGCTCATGTGGGAACCCAGTAAGCAAGGGCCAGGTTAGGGAGGAAAATCACCTTGTATACCTCACTAGAAAGTTTGAGTGTATGTTATCAGAGAAGCAAGAGGCTATTTAAATCTCTGAACAGGATCTCTGGCCTCGCTCTGGAAAGACGTCTTTGAGCAAGGAAGGGATGCAGTTAAAGTCAGCAGGCAGGCTACCAGGCACCAAGCGAGGCTCTCTCCACTCACCATGAAACTCTGTAAAATGTGGCATCTCCCTGGTTAAAGCTGGTGTGTGTGTGTGTGTGTGTGTGTGTGTGTGTGTGTGTGTGTGTGTGTAACAATGCCTTCACGATAGGAGCTGCTAGCTAGATTTAACTGAATGCAATCACACACACCAGAGGCATGGCACTAGCAGGAGGTGGTTTAATCATACGGTTAGATCACTTTTCCTTTTTAGAGCCATGGTCTCATGTAGTCCAGGTTAGCCTTGAACTCGATACACAGCCAAGAATGACTTCGAACTTCTCTCTCTCTCTCTCTCTTTCTGTCTCACTATGGAGCCCTGGCTGGCCTGGAACTTGCTATACAGACCAGGCAGGCCTTGAACTGGAGTTCTATCTCCTAGGTGCAGGCATGCCTCACAACCCCGGGGATTGTATACATCCTTTGCCTGTGGTGCTGGAGTTTCAACTCAGGGCCTAGATGCTAGGTAAGCATTCTACCCATCCCCAACCCAGACTAGTACTTCTGAACCTCCTGCTTCCACCTCCAGAGAGGTAGGATCTTAGACATGTGTCCACCACACCACACACGGGGTGCTCAGCACTCTACCAACTGAGCCATATCCCCAAGCGCCAAGATCACTTTTGGTGGGGAAAATTCGTCTTTCTCTACTTTCAAAGCAATTTGTTTACACAGCCCTACTACTTTTCCCGTAGTGTTCACATGTCCGTCTCCTCCACCATAATACACTGTTTTATCTAGTTCTGTGTCCTCAAAAGTCCAGGTCCTACGTGCATGGCTAACTGAAATGAATGTGCTCAACACACACTTGTTGAGAATAAGTGGGTGAGTGAACGAATGAATGAATGAAAGGGGTGAATGAATGAAGATGGATACAGATAAATGAAGTAATGAACCGGGTGGAAAAAGGAAAGCAGACAAAAGCCGCCGAGGTCTCCCGCGAGGCTGGAGGGAGTACCCCTGAGGTCCCTTCAGAACTCACGGGTACTCCCGGCCGCAGCCCGGTGCCGTCCACGTGCGAGCCGGCCGGCCTCTCTTAGCCCGGCCGCTGCGGCACGAACCCACGTCTCCTTGGCCAGTCCAGCCCCCAACCCTCACCTAGTCTCCAGGTAGACGTTGGGCGGCTGCCAGGTGTCAGGGGGAATCGCCGCCATGCTGAGCGAAAGGATCCCCTAGCAATGGCTACTTCCGGCGGAGTTCACTGGGGACCCGCCCCGGGAGCGCACACTTCCGGCTCCCGCCGATCAGCCGGTTTTGGTGATAGGGTTTAGGGAGCTGGGGAAAGGAAGATGAAGGATCTTTTTCGAGGCTGGGGAGGGGGGTTGCAAGACGAGATCCCCGGGGCGGGGACCCGGACTAGTGCAAAGTCCTTCAGCGGCGATTCGCGCCATGCTCCGGAACGGTGATTGGTCTGTTTAGGCACGGAAGGCGGGAACAACTGTCTTTATTCTAATTGGACAGATGGTCAAGAATTTTTTTTTTTTTTTTTAGTTCCCTGACTTGGATGGCTCAGAAACTAGCTTTACCTACTTACTACGTAGTCCAGGCTGTTCTGGAACTCAGTAATTAGACCAGGCTGGTCTCGAACTCACTGCCTGTGCCTCCCGAGTGCAGGGATTTAAGATGTGCACCACCACGTCCCGCGCACTTCCTTATTTCATCTATTCACAAAGCAATCCTGTGAATAACAGTATTCTTGTTTTTTAAATTTTTTAATTTTTTTTTATTTTTTTATTTTTTTGTTTTTCGAGACAGGGTTTCTCTGTGTAGCTTTGCGCCTCTCCTGGGACTCACTTGGCAGCCCATGCTGGCCTCGAACTCACAGAGATCCGCCTGGCTCTGCCTCCCGAGTGCTGGGATTAAAGGCGTGCACCACCACCGCCTGGCGAATAACAGTATTCTTGTTTTTCAGGTGTGAAAACAGACTCCGCCGTTAAGTGCCACGTGGCAAATCTGGTCCTCCGGACTCCAAAAGCAAGGACCGAGTGGAAAAAGGAAAAGGCCGGGAAAGACAATTACAAGGCCCTGTGGTGTGGCTCATGCCCTTAATCCCAGCGCTCAGGAGGCAGAGGCAGGCGGATCTCTGTGAATTCGAGGTCAGCCTGGTCTACAGCGCGAGATCAAGGACAGCCAGGGCTACATAGAGAAACCCTGTCTCAAAGAAAAACCAAGCCGGGCGGTGGTGGTGCACGCCTTTAATCCCAGCACTCGGGAGGCAGAGCCAGGTGGATCTCTGTGAGTTCGAGGATAGCCTGGGCTACCAAGTGAGTTCCAGGAAAGACACAAAGCTACACAGAGAAACCCTGTCTCGAAAAACCAACCAACCAAACAAACAAAACAAAACAAAAAAACTAGCTTTCGATAGGTTGACACCCCAAAGTTGTTCAGGGTGACAGGAGACACAAAGAAGAGTCGAGAATGCGGCATAGAGGGAGGACAGGATAGAGGTGGGATGAATGAACTAGTGAAGGGGCTGGAGACGTGGGCCAGCTGGGAGAGTGCTTGCCTAACGGGACTCAGTGGGTAAAGTGCCTGCTGCCCAAGTATCTGAGTTTAGGTCCCCAGCACCCATGGCAATGCCAGGCAGGTATGCACCTGTGACCTCAGCGCTGGGGAAACATAGACCCAAGAGTCCATGGAGCGGGCTGGTCATCCAGTCTAGCCCAATCAGCTTGCTCCGAGTTCAGTGAGCTACAAGGGAAATAGATGTCTTATATTAAACATCCCACAATTAACAACACAAAAGTAGGGAAATATTTACATTGTTTTTTTCAATTCTAAGATGCATCCTCCCTCCCACCCGCCCACTTCCTGCGCAAGGCAAAAACAGCAAATGTAAACCCTAACCTTCAGTTCCCAAGAAAATCAAGCAAAAGTTATTACAGAAAAGAAATCTGGACCTTTAATGTAGCAGTCTTATAAGCCCAACAGAGCTGGGGGTAAGAGCTCATGGGGAACTCCACCATCAAAGGCTAGATAGATAAAAGTGACTTTTAATTTTTTTATTTTCTGTGTCTGTGTGTAGGTGTGTATGTGTGTGTGTGTGCCTGGATGTGTGTATGTGCACCATGGGCACACATGAGCCCACAGAGGCCAGAAGAGCATGCCCGATCCCCTAGAACTGAAGTTACATGCAGTTTTGAGCTGGAATGTGGGCGCTAGGAACAGAAACTGCACCTTCCACAAAAGCAGTGCTTTTAACACCTGAGCCATCTCGCCATCCCCAAGAATGACATGTTTTCATGATTAAGGGAAATGATTAAAAAACAGTCTCGCCAGGCAGTGGTGGTGCACGCCTTTAATCCCAGCGGTGGGAGGCAGAGGCAGGCGGGTTTCTGTGAGTTCGAGGCCAGCCTGGACTACATCATGAGTTCCAGGAAAGGCGCAAAGCTACACAGAGAAACCCTGTCTCGAAAAACAAAACAAAACAAAACAAAACAAAAAACCCAGTATCTTGGGCTGGAGAGATGGCTCAGAGGGTAAAGGCACCTGGGCCAAGCCCAATTACCTGAGTTCAATCAGGGATCTACACAAAGGAAGAAAAGAACTGACACCCGTAAGAGATACACACACAAAGGCAGGGGCTATAGCTCAGTGGTAAAGCGTTTGCCCAGCATGTTAGAAGCTCACACTGAAACATCAAAGCAGCTGGCTTCCACAGCCTGATATCATAGGTGCTTTTTTATCTTTTTTATTTTATATTTTTTAAAGTTTTTAAAAGTGTTTTTGAAACGTTTTTAAAGTGTTAGCATTTTCAATGTGTTCTACAACTGTGTTATATTAAGGCAAGCCATGTTGACTTAAAAATCCAGTGTTGGGTCAGGCCCTCAGCTCAGCTCCATACTGCCACAGTCCTTTCTGACCCACATTTTGCCCAGTGCGTGCATGCTGAGTGAGCCGGCCTGTCAGCCTTCTGTGTATTTGTGAGGTTGGATGAGCTGATGGTGACCCTGAGTCACTCCTGCATCAGTAGGCCTTCAGGGGGCTTTTCCTCAGAGCTTTTGGGGGTCATGCGGGCAGGCTACCCAGTAGACACTCTTGTCCCTTCCTCTGCCTCTGGTGCCCCCCTTCCCTCATTCCCTTCTTCTGCCTCCTCCTTGGGCACGGCTTATCTCAGGCTGTCTTTCAGCTACTCTCCCTCGGGAAGCACGTAACAGCATCCTTGTGCTTAAATATGTCTGTCTTTCTCAGTGCCTCTCTTTCTCCCTTAATCCTCATGGCTTAAGTCATTAAAAATATCTCCAACTCTGTTTTAAATTAGTTAGGCCTGAAAATCTCTGCTGTATCCACGTCATGAATCCTGGAGTTTGCCTGAGTCAAAAATCTCTAAAAGATTAGTGGACCGATTTGGGCAGTTGAAGGTGACATTGTCAATCTATGTCTCTGTCACTTTCACCTCTGACATCTTGGGGACTCATTCCTGGCTCCATCCGAAGCATTGTGGGTACGTGTCCCTGAGCGTTGCTTGGCTGGATCGCCCTGCTATGCAAGGCTTACGTGTTACCTTGGTTCCTTTGTTGTTGTTTTGGGGGTGTTGGTTTGTTTTGTTTTGAGAAATGGGTTTCTCTGTGTAGCCCTGGCTATCCTGGAACTCGCTCTGTAGACCAGGCTGGCCTCGAACTCAGAGATTCACCTGCCTCAGCTTCCTGAGTGCCGAGATGTTCTCTTAACCGCTGAGCCATCTCTCCAGCCCCCTGACACTAACATCTTAAAGGTGCTCTCCGACCTCTGCCGGCCTTTGGTCTAAGGATGTTGCTGCCCTGTCCTGCACTGTTTGGGGAAGCTCATAGCCTTAGGGGAAGGGACCTTTCCTCTTCAATGCAGCTTCACCCGAGCGGCGCAGCTCCAAGTGGCGGGAACTCTGCTGGCCTCCTCCTCAGGATTCTCATTAGGTGATGTTCTGAAGAAGGGGCTTCTAGAACTTCCAAGGCCAAGATAGATGAATTTAGACTCCATATGTTCTTATTTCCGTAAGAGGTTAAAGCCCTAGCTACTACATTATCCGTGCCTTTAAACATGGCTCTGGCTTCGCAATGTCTTCTGACCCGGGAAGAGAACGTCTCCGGGGATGCTTGCAGACCTGTATAGCAGCCTGAGCCTTGGTGACCAGCTGGGTTAACAGTTGACAATGAATGGCCTGCAGAGCCTGGTCGTCTAGGAAGGGCTCCATAGCCTGCAAAAGCCCCGGACAGGCAGATGCTGCCTGGCCCAGTCATCTCTGTTTTTATCCCCCCTCCCCCTCACCGTTCTGGACACGCATACAAGCACGGGAAGGTAGTTCTGCTCACTATTAATTAAAGAGTAAAAAGCTTTGGCCTAAAGTGACAGCGTGGAAGTCATTTCCGTCTAGAAGGCATCTCCTCTTCTGCTGTTTATCTCTGGGACCAGGAAAAAGGATTGTCTAAGTCCACGTGACGAGCTTCAGGTTGTGTACTCACGCATCTGTCCAGATGTCCATCTGTACCTTAAGCCTGTAAGTGACCAGCTCAGGCTCCAAGTTCACGTTTCTACGCTTAGTTCTCTACCAGGATTCTAGGAAAACTCGGATTGTTTAAAAAGTGCCGATTTAGGAGTAAGGATTACTTTAGTGCACTGCGCTTTGTCTCTGCACACGTGTGTACTGTCTACATGTGCTTGTGCTTTTATAGTTTCCTTGGTACCAAACTGCCTTCGAAGGAAGTGCTAACATGAATTAAAATTGTTAAATTAACCCAAATTCTTTCTAGTTCATAGTGGAACTGGAGTTGAATTTTGTTTCGGATTTATTTATTTTCACGTGTATGAATGTTTTGCCGGCATGCATGTATGCACATCACATGTGTGCCTGGTGCTCATGGAAGTGAGAGGGGGCATCAGATACCCTGGAACCGGAATAACAGACAGTTTTTGGATGTTATGTGGGTGCTGAGAACTGAACCCCAGTCCTCTGCAGGAGCAGCCAGGGTTTCGTAACTGCTGAGCCATCTCTCGAGCTCGTGCAGGTATAATTTCAAAGGGTGAAAAAAAAAGGCAGTTCCGACAGTCTCAGTATGTCAGCTAAGGGAACAGGTGTCAGGAGAAAGAGGAGATTTAATTGTCTGTGGCGGCGTGGGGGCGAGAGCAGAGTGTGGCCTGATGGCCCTGAGTCTTCAGTCCCCTTTTCTGGTTTACCCTGCTTCACTAGCCCCGGTTTTTGTCTGCAGGTCCCGTGTAGAAATCAGTTAAACGCTGACACAGGGGCTGGAGAGATGGCTCAGCTGTTAAGAGCTCCTGGACTCTGCTCTTCCAAAGAATTTGAGTTCCCAGAACCAACATCATTCTGCTCACAACTGTCTGTTAATCCAGTTGCAGGGGATCCAGGGCCTCTGGCTTCTGAGGATGGGCGCATGCACTC